TGACACAGGATTGAATCCATATGCAAATTGAGCTTCATTTCATTGTAAAGAATTTGAACAAGTTGCTTCATGGATGGAAGGTGACCAGATTCCAACTTAGACCACACAGGCACATCATTTAAAGGTATCTCAAATGCACCTGTTCACATACACTGGTTCTCAACCATGTTGCTCAAGAAGAAAACCATCATACGTACATAGACTTTATTTTCTTGACCCCACTGCCAGGTGCTAGGCACTCGTATGCCAAAGAAAGCAAAAGGATCTTTGCCCACGATTATTAAGCTTATTCATACTAATGTGAAGACTTACAGGAAAGGTGCTATGTGTCTACATATTGGCTGAGGAAGGTAATTCTCTCCTTCAGTGCAATGTCTGGGTACTGCAGGCTGATAACCCACATGTACTCCTCAAACGCCCACCGATAGCCTCAAAAAACACAATTCTGGAACTTGAGCAGCAGCCCTATGGCATACTGCATCTTTAATCTCTTGCTGGGCATCCCACCCAGGTTGGCCAAGGCCTCACTCCAGACCACCAGTCCACTGCTGATGCTGCCACCAGGAAGAGCAGCAGAAGCCTCATCTTCATCGAGCCAGCCACTTTGGCTGTCCTCAGACTGAGACTGCCGCCAGCCTGAAGCCCCGCCAGGAGCTGCTCCCTGACTGACTTTTCTGATGGGATATCTTTGAGGGTACAGCAGTTGGAGGTCAAGCCCTGTCAGCAGGGCAACCTCCCTTGACCATGAGTTTCAGCAAGGGTCTCAAGGGTAAGAGATTTGGTCTGACTGGCTAGGTCTGGGTCCCTGCCAGCTCCTAAGCAGGAGACGTTCAGACCCACCCAACCCCTCCATGACCCAAGAATGGAAAAAGAGTTACTGCTACTAGAAGTTGAATGGTCTTGGGGCAGGAGGGTGCCACCAGCCCGAGACGGTCTGGAGGACACTGAGTTTTAGCTTCAGAACATGTGCTGGTCCTTATTCCACCAGGCTGCCCCTCTCCAGATCCGCTCTCCATGCCCCTCCATCAGGCAGTGGCATTGCCCAGGCTCCATGTGGGACTATGCAAGACATTGGCTCTAGCCAGAAATGGGGCATCTCGTTCCTCTGTTTCTTGGGGGCCTGTGTCCTTTGAATTCAGGAGAAGTTCTTCACTGACTGGTGGACAGTGTTTATTTCATTTTTTAAAAATTTTATTTATTACTATGTTTTTAAAAATTATTTTATTGGGGCCGGCAAATGGCGTGGTGGTTAAGGGCGCTGGACTCCCACATGGCCGACCATGGTTCAAGTCTCAGACCTGGTGGCTTGCTTTCTCACTTCCTCTCTCTCTCTCTGATCAAACTGAAAAATAATAATGATATTAATAATAATAAAGTTAAATAAAATAATTCTTTTTTAAAGAATTATTTTATTAATTTTATTCATTCATTCATTCATTTTAATGTGAACAGAGAGAGAGGGAAAGTGAGGAAGCAAGCCACTAGGTCCAGAACTCAAACCGTGGTTGGTCATGTGGGAGTGTCCAGTGCCTTAGCCACCATGCCACCTGAGGGTCCCCTCTTACTATTATTTTTTAAGTTGACCAGAGACATGGAAAGGAGGGGGGTAGTGAAAAATCAAGCTGCCAGGTCTGGGACTCTAACCATAATTGACCATGTGGGAGTCCAGCACCTCAACCACCATGCCACCTGCTGGCCTGATAGATAGTGTTTAAAAGCAACCATATGGGCCAACCACTGGCATGGTGGTTAAGGCAACTCAGTCCCACATGGCTGAATGCACAGTTTGAATCCTAGACCTGGCGACTTGGAAAACACACCAGGACCCCTCCCCCAAAAAAATTAAAGAGGAGAATTAATAAGAAGGAAAGGGATTGTGGTGTGGCCAACCCCCCTTGGGAGTGATTTCTCACTTTCTCTCTCTCTCTCCATCTTTCTTTGGTGAGCACATGCATCTATGGCAAAAACAAATGAAAACGAACAAACAAACAAACAAAAAACAGACAGCTGGGGAACCAGCAGTTAACGTAATGGCTATGTCGCTGGACTCCCACGTAGTCGACCGCGGTTCGCGTCCTGGACCCGGTGGCTTAAAACTCACGCATGTGCGTGCGTGCCCAAGATCCTGAGAGGAGAATGGAGGAGAAGGGATTGCAGCATGACCATCCCCCCTGGGGGGTGATTTCTCGCTTTCTGTCTCTATGTCTCTCTCTGTCTGTCTGGCGAGCGCACGCGCCCTATAGCAAAAAACCTCTCAAAAAACAAACAAACAAACAAAAAACAGACATCTGGTCAGCAAGTTGGAAAGACACAATGTGGAGGTCTGGGTAGAGATGGTGATGGAGATCCTGAAATGACCAGAACATGAAGACTTTCCTCTGCTTTCTCTGCAGACTGCGACTGCAGGTAGTGGGGATTCTGGTCTCTCAGCAGAGCGAAACCCTCTCCACTCCTGCTGCAGATCGAAGATCTTGGAACAGGGACCTCTGGGGCATAGCTGTCCCCCCATTCCCATCCTCTCTTTAGCCAAAATTGGAAGATGTTCCAGGCAGGGGGACAGGGAGCCCTCAGCTCCATGGCTAGCCTTGACCCAGAAGCCAGAAGCCAGCTTTGCCTCTTTGGCAGCTGGTCATGAGCTGTTCAGACCAGAAAAAGCTTAGCCCCCAGAACAGGCTAAGGGCATGGACTAGGCAGACACTGGGGGAGGCCTCTGGCTGAGTCTATTTGGATTTCCACCTAGCCGGCTGCCCGGAGCTGCCAGCAGCCCTTTCTCCTGTTTCTCTCTGCCTCTTCATGGAGTGGGCTGGTGGGCTGGCCACCCACATGTCCTCTGACCCAGAGATGCCATGGTGGTAGATAGTCTTCTCTATCCTGCCTACCATCCATTTCTCCACATCTAGGGCCAGAGGGGTTGTAGGTGCCTCAGGATTCCACTGAAAACTGATGTGAGCAGACTGGCCAGAGTCTGCCGTGTGGTCCCGGCGAGAGTTCCCTTTGTCATCATGTGCTATTTTCCTGAGGGAGCGCCTGAGTCCCTCCACACAATGGGGCAACAGTCAGAGCCCAGTGCCTGCTCTCCCAGAGGGAAAGGTGGAACCGGAAGACAGGGTCAGAGTGCCCCTCCCCAAATTTTACCCTTCTCCCCAGCCTGTCCCCACTAGGTGCAGAAATATGACAGATCCTGCCCAGAGTCTACCAAGGAGAGGTCTGGTATTGGTGTCTAGGCCCTCCAAACCAGGTGAGGAGGTGCAGTGTGCCTAAGGAGGGCCCTTCTGACCCTTGGGCTCAAGATTTGTAGAGTCCCTGAGGTCTGGTGCTGACCTGAGTTTTTCAGGATGACCAGGAGTTAGTGAAGCCAGAGAGGGGAATCCATAGATGCATGGGGGACATGGCTATGCAGAGGTTGGTGACCAAAGACTCAGTGAGCAATGCAACCCACCCAGTTCCTCCTCTCTCTTCCCGAGGTGAGAAGGGCACCTGGAAGGTGGCCCCAGGAGCTCCAGGTCCACAGTATTTCTCACCTCCCTGTCCAGGACACAGAGTGGTCGCTCAGCAAGTGTGCTCCCCCGCACTGAGGTAACCTGCTTCATTTCTAGGTAGGACAAGGAGGCCTGGCAGTGTGTCCCCTAGCCCTGGGGGCTGGGAGGTGGTGTCCTGAATGCTTAGTGATCTACACAGGGAATGGCATTAAGGGGCCAGGGTTTTAGGAGCACTCTTCCTTGCCCTACCCAACACACAAGGTGGGCTGTTGAGGCTGCTCCTTTAGTCCAACCCCTAGTCCAGAGCCAGCAGGCGGGTTCTCCCAGGACCTTATCAGTGGGAGGAGGAACTGCGAGACTGAAAAGATCCGGTCTGTCCCTTTTGTTTACTTGAGCAGAGTGAATGAAGTTTTAACCTCACCTCTCAGGCTTTCTCCTGGGAGGGCGTTGTAGATCCCCACAGTAGCAGGAGCCCCAGGGGCGAAGGTAAGTTTTTGTCCTCACCCCACCCAATACGTTTGGACACCCTTACTTTGCCGGCACCCCCGCAGGTCCAGCACGGAACCTGGAGTCCAGCGCGTTCCAGTCCGCTGCCCGGACACCGGGAAGCTCGGAGTCCCCGCTGGTGTGGGCAAGGGCAATTGCGGAGTTGCACGATTCTGGACCACAGCACACCAAAGTCCGTGAGAAAGCTTTGCAGGGGCAAGAGTCTGAACTGCGCTCAAACGGCAAGAAACGGTGGGAAGCAATGGACGGCTGCAACGGTGGGGAGTAGTGGACAGGTGCACGGTCCACTGTGCGCTCTGGGTCTTTTCCGTCTGTCGTGAGATTCGCCCTCTAGGAACACGCAGGCCCCGGCCCTGCGAGGGTTAAGCGGGGCGGGCTGTGG